CAACTTAAAATATTCTAATATGAAACTATATAAAGAAATAGCTGATGTTTGTAACTCCAAACAGTCCAGAGACATGAACAGATAATGAGACAATTGTCCCAGTAAAGACACACAGACTGAAAAAGACACGAAATGACTACAATTGACAGCTTTTGTAGTTGCTTTGCGTGTCTTTGTAGCATCTCTCTGTGATAATTTTTGGCCTTGTTTTAGTCATTCTGTGTCTCTTTTGAATTGATTTGCATCCCTTTGTGATTGTTTTGCATCTGTTCATAGTCATTTTGTGTTTCTTTGTAGCATGTAGCATATTCTGTTGCTTTCATGTCTCTGTCATAATGCATCTCTTTGTGGTCGTTTTGCATCTCTTTGTGCTCGTTTTGCATCTCTTTGTGGTTGTTTTAATTGACTTTTCAAATGGAAATCTTAACATTCACTTCATACAGATGTTCTGGTCCAGGCCCATTTAAGTAATCCATCCATAATACTAACAAACCAATTGACCATCACCTCTTAACTCTGGTACCATGTGGTTTCTACAACAGAGTAGCATGTTTTGATGTTAGCCTCTTAGCCAAGAGTTCTTTCTTTTTTCATTTTTCATAATTATCTGAGAATTGTTTCAGTCTGTGGCCGGTCCTGAACATTCAGTGTCCGGTTGTATGAAAAGATCCTTTAGTTTCTGGCAACAACATTGAAAAGAGGAACTGAATATTTAGCGTTTAGAACTGAAGACTATGCCAAAATCAGAAAAGTGTCAGACAAAAGCAGTTACATGTTAAATCAAGATATTTTTGCTCAAAGGGCAACAAATGCCTCCTCTATCAAGTGAGCACCAGGACACACTCCAGCCATGAAGAAATCCCTCTGGTTGTTTCATTAAATCTTTGCTTCCTCCCAGTTTATGCTCCATTAAGATGTACACTTTGGATTGACATATTATTCTGTAGCTGATTGAAATCCCACCGCAGTCAAATTTAGCTGCAATCTGGCAAAACATAAGGGATCATATATAATAATGTCAATGAAAGGGTTTCTCCCTCAGCAATTTTCTCAGTAATGACCAATTCAGCTCTATCATTCACAGTAAATGAGTCCACTACACTGGGGCGGTGGCAGATTGTAATCGCTTTCTCAGTCTGAGAATAACCCCGTGCATATGAGGGTCAAATGACCATAGATGACCCTGGTGGTGCAATGCTCTTTGAACTCTGACCTCTGGCCACACCGGAGGGCTGATCATGACCTCCACAGAGCAAGTAGTGGAGCACAGCAGTGACCAGTGACCAGTTGCTCGAGTCACTTCAGGAGTGAGAGGAGATGTTGTTTGGGTAATAAAAGGGGAATGTGGACAGTAGACTGTGTGTGGAGGCTCAACACAACAGGCCGGTTTTCAGTTTGGTTACGTAAAACAAGTATGGGCATTTTAGCGCTTATTCAGTGGGATTTTAGAGTACAACGGTGGCAGGATTTGGTCAACCTATTGAGGAGCATGAAGTCCTCCAGCGGAAAAATGAAAGAAATTGGAGTTGCAATTTTTCAAAAAACACAGCTGCCACTCTAATTTTTCATAGTGCTTTTTTTTCCAATATCAATGTATGTACGTATGTGCAATATAAACACTTAATATTTTCCACCTCATATGTGCAATATTGTGTAAACACTCACTCTGATTATATTGTATTTTTTAGCTTTTGCTGTTTTTTGCGGTTTACTTATTTATTATACCTTGCTGGGTTTTTTTCTACTGATACTACTGATTCTAATAAAGGATTACACCTTATGTTATCTTATCTTATCTTAATTTGATGTTTAGATAAACTCACATTCATTATCACCCTAATTCAACTTTTATGTTGTAAGCCTTGTCCATCAATCTGTTGATCCGTCGGTCCACCGCTTTGGTCCCAACTGAAATACCTAAACAACTTATAAATTCATTACCATGACATTTGCTACAGATAGCAATGGCTCCCACACCATGTATCCTTCTGGCTTTGATGATTGGTATTTCAGAATGAAATTTCACCACATAAAATAAGGCTTGATTTGCACCGTGCAGCAGGCAGTGTGGTAAACTGCGTGTGATGTGCTGTGGTTTCTAAAAGCTTGTCCTCCAGCTGCCTGAGTGAACCCATGCAGTGCCCTGCAAGCAGGCTGGCAAACTGACGGGCCATCCTCAAGCAGCCATTCCTCTCCCGCCCCAGTGAGGACACTTGATCCCCTCAACAAGGGTCACTGATCACTTTCATTTGGAGTGTGAAGATCTGAAGGGGGGACATTCGCCCATCCATCCCAAATATCCGGGTTCGGTCTAATCCATGCGTGTTTGGATCCTGTGCACCCTCAGTGGAGCCAGACGCTCACATGGACCATTGACAGGGATGTCATTGTGTGAGGGAGAGAGAAATGCATCAGGATTGGAGCCAGGGCTTTCTGGATAAAGGTCTGTTCTGCAGACCTGCAGCTGAACCATCCTGTTTGCATATCAATACCTTCAGGCCTGAATAACTTCGGTCAGCTGATGAATGAGAGATTTGCTGCTATCTCAAGTCTCAGGGCTCTTTGGTGCAGAGAGAGACATAAAGGAAACTTGTCACCCGCGGGTAACTCAACGACATAGCGGATGGTTCCCTTTATGCATTGCTCACCCATGAATGGGGTTGTGTGACTTGAAGATATTCTATAACTGGAGAGGATGCAGGGCGGAAAATGAACACCATCCACCTGTCAGATGCTAAGAAGTTTTACTGAAAAGGTAACTGATCATCACCAAAAGTCAATTCTGGAAAATGTAGTTGGCGGTGAAAAAGGCTGCTGAGTTTTCTTGACCTGAAGCTATGTTGATATAGAAGGTTTTCTAATCCTGTTTTCAGATATATTGCTCTTTGGGGGCAGCAGGAACAAAAACAAAAAAATACAAAGTTATATTATTCTTTTGGAGTCGAGTTTCTGGACATTTGGAAAATGCAAGTCAATTATTTACCCTCCTTTAAGCTCTGTTTTAGGTGTCCACTGAAATAGATATCCGGAAATATCTGGTTCTTTAACTTAATGTTCCATTACCAGCTCACATTATTTGCTGGCCTGCTGTTTGGTGCTGGACAGGTATAGTGTGCAGTGGATTCATCAGAGTTTTTTCCATATGTGCCTGCTGCAGCCAAAAACAGTGAGCGCAATAAATCAGTTCATCGTTGCTGCCAACAAGCTGAAACTTGCTATAAAGTTCTGTGGTGCTGAGGTGAACTGCAGAGTTGGATGATAATTATAAAGCAAAAAAACAAAAAACAAAACTACAACTGATACCACCACAGATTTTTTTATGAAATAAAATATCAACTTAAACAGCCACTGATAGATAGTAGACAGATGGAACCACCGGACTGTGCGGCCCTGGAAAGATTAAAGTCATACCCTGGTCCGGAATCCATGTGTGCTCCCTTATGTATGTGTTTTTAGGTCCTGCATTGATTACAGATGTATGGAAGCTATATCAGATGTTAAATAATATTTTACAAATGTATGATAGCGACCCATGTTCGACCCTGAGTTAAATCAAAGTGACACTAGGACATGGTACGTATAAGCACATATCCCCGCCGCCTATAAACTAAACAGGCAGTTATTGATCCGCACCATCTCCCTTCAGTGGAGGTCCCAGAGGTTGAGAATGCAATATTAATGGATCGGGGGGGAGTTGTTGTAGGCCTGTGTGTGTGTTTATTTGTGTGCGAGTGTTTGTGTGTGTGAGCATGCATCCACGCTCATAGCTCATGCAGGGCGACTCCATTAACCAGCACGGCGGTGGCGGGTCAGCAGTTTATGGCGGCCAGGCTCACAGGTCAAGGGGGACTGAAGAGGTCAAAGATTGTTCATTCCCAGAAGGTCTCCAATCACCCCAGCGAATTGATTGCTTACACATCGGAAAAGCCACTGTCCTGCGTTAACTTCAAATTTAGACCCTGCAGCCACACGACCCCTCCTAAACTCGCCCACCACCAACTTCTGCAGCTGGGAAGCGTTTGTCAAAGAATGACCACTCGCTTATGCTTACAGGAATAGCTCCACCCATTGGGAAATAAGCTTATTTGCTTACTTGTCAATACAATCAGATGAGAAGATCCACTCTCATCATTTTCAGTTCAATATAAGGCTACAGCCTGCTAGCTTAGTTTAGTAACAACATGTGGACTAAACAAACAAGATTAAACATGTTAATTAGTGAGCTTTAGAGGTTTGTTGTTGCGTTTAGACAAGGCAAAGCAAGCTGGCTGCTTTCTGCCTAAGCTAAGCTAAGCGGCTGTTGGCTCTAGCTTCATATGTTTAGCATACAGACGAGAGTATCAATATTCTCATCTGACTCTCAGCTATTTTTTTTTAAATGTTGAACTATTGCTTTGACCATGGTGCCAAGTTTTGCAGTTAATTTTCCAACATGGCTTCCGGTTAAACAATGAAAACAGCTTTGTTAACTGTGGCACGCCTTCTTGCAGTTTTAACCCCTTTACTGGCGCACTGCTTTAATTTGCTGAGTACGTCACGTGACAGGGAATACTCAACAGGGATTGGACCTAAATGCAGAGAGTTGAGCAGGAAGTGGGATTAACCATATTTATGTGAATTATTAACGATTCAGCAGATGGCAAGAGTCCAAATAGGCAGAGGGTACAGCTGGAGAACAGGTGACAGGAAAACACGCAGCAGAACACCACATAACAATGATGAAGAGCTGACAAAGATCAAAGGAACTAGGCTGGTATATGTCGTGAACGACTGATGGGGAAATTGGGGACAGGTGAGCAGGAGGTCTAATGACTGCAGTGCTAACGAGGGACAGGTTAAACTAATGAGGGTGGGGCAGACAATCAGAACAGGCGGGAAAACACACGAAAGCAGGCAGAAAATAATCTGTAATGAGAGGAGAGGTGAGTAACAGAATAGTGGTTAGTACTTTGTTACCTTCGGACAGAGATTTTAAAGTTCTTTATTATATTATTATATTTGAAAAATGTAATACTTAGTTTTATAAATAAGTAAAGGCTAAATGTTAAACAATCTAAAGCATTTGCATACACTATGAATAAATGTCAGTTTTCCTACTTCGTCATCCCTTCACAAAAATCACAAAACAGTGATTAAATGTAATTTCTTTTCAAATCATCCAGTGTCTCTTCCAGGAAAAAAAAAAAATCATCTGCTAAACAGATGTACTTTAGATTCCCGGCAGCAGCAACATTGGTTTGTTTGGAATAAATACAAAGACCATGAACTGAATGCTGCGAAGCAAAAATGAGCCCAAAACACATTTTCGAATAAAAGTTTTAGTCAGAACTTCCTGCAGAATATACAAAAGACTCAAGAGAAAACATCTCAACAATAGTTTGTCATATTATAAATTAAGCTTTTAGAAATATAGAGTTGCATGTAAGTACCGTTTGTGGAGGTGAGTGTTGATTAAATGAAGTAGAAAACAATCACAGATTCAGGTGTTGTCTGTAGAGAACATTTTATACAAGCACTGTATTGGCGACATAAATAACAGCAAATGTACAACACATAGTAGCTGTGTTTCATATTTCTGGTACATTGTTTTTCCACCAGTACCAGATATCCTTCTGCGTATGCTACATCTTTATTTTTTAATAAAGACAGTCCAGAAAGAGAGCTTCCTCTAACTTCATACACAGAATAAACGTGACAGACACAAACGGAACAATGCTGATTGGACTGAAAATATTCTGAATGATTAAGTTATATCTCAACAACACACATTTACATTTATTTTGATTGTGCATAATTCCAAACCCTTTGCTTCTTTCCTCACTGTAAGTGTTGTTTTTCAGCAGAGCTCCCGTGTCCCAATAGTCCAATATGTCATTTGATTTAACTTCAGGCACATCTCTTTGCAGTGGGGGCGTCTTTCTGGAGTTATTTTCAAATCACAGGCTTTGCTGTTAAGTGTTTTGGACATCAATGACAGCTCAGCATACACCTGGCACTCACGGTGCCAAGTGCAAGTATATGCTTCAATCTGGTTTGCTCTCGTCACAGTGCAGCAGCAACCAGCACTTCTCAAAAGCGTTCCTTTAGCATTGCTTGCTAACAAACTCACACATTTTGATAGCATGGCTGCTGTAAATCTGGAGGAAGAAAAGGAGTTTTCATAGCTTAAGAAATGAAGGAAAGGTATATTTTGCACAGTAAAAGCTTTGGTAATACACAATGTCTTCAAGATATCCCTGTCTGGTTTTGGTAGTTGGCTGACCAAGAAGGCTAGTAACAGTTTTTAAGAGCTTTGGCGAGTAGCCGTTCAGTCCCAGCCAAAGTTGTGGCCGGTCATTTGGTAAAACTTGAGATTGAAGGGTCTGTAGAAGTCTCTGAGCCGATGCAGGACGTCAGAGGGGATCTGGGGATGGGGCCTGCCCTTCGACTTCCCCAGGCAGCGCGGCCTGCTGCTCCCCTCAGGCTTCTTTAGGCAGGGGAAACCTTTGGTCTGGTTGAAGTAGAAGTGCTTGTCTGTCACCACGCGTTTGAGCCCCAAGAAGTCCTGGACCCGGCCCATCTCGCCCGCCGGGTCCGTCACAAGGCGTTCGCCGCTGACAAAGAGGAGGCGTGAGAGCGGGAAGTAGCGCAGCCAGTTCTCTAGGTGCTTGGCGTAGATGCCGATGCGCACGGCACTCCAAGATGTGTCGATGAGGCCCGTGGTGGCATTGCGAAAGGCCAGGTTCTGGAATGACGGGAGCCCGGGAGATTTGGACAGAGTCTGGGTGTAGTCGGAAACAGCCCGGGTCACGGGGTCACGCACCACCACGATGAGCTTGGTGTGGCGGCTCATGGAGAAGACACGGCGAGGGGCTTCCTTAGTGATGAAGTAACTGGGGGTCTTCTCCATGGTGATCTGACCCTCCAGAGTACGAGGCATCAGGTTCCTGCACGACGGAGAAAAGAAAGATTGCCATTATTAAAACTGTAAATATTTTCCGTGAGAGTATACTTGAGAAAATGCCAACATACTGTAAGTTCTATATTACAAAAATAACATCTATATATATTAAAATAAATTAAAACATTCCCTTGATTTTCTCATTATTCGCATCGCATTCCTTTGACGATGCCTCACTTGCCTTGAAGGCTTTTTGATTTTGCTGTGGAATTAGTGAGCTACATCCGTGATTAGAGGGAGATAAACATGACATTAGCTGCCGGCATTGATGAAGTGACTGTGTCAGCTCAGACTGGGAGGGAGTCTGTGAGCGGCTACTGTAGGAAAACCGCAAGGCTATATTAACCTCAGGAAAGTAATTTCCTCTCCTCTGCTACCTCCTCCTCAACAGGCTCTCCCTCCCTGGTCCTTGGAGCTATGAGAGCGTCCCACGAGACTAAAATAATAGCCACATTACTGTCATACCACTGGTATTTGTAGCCCTACAGCAGGGTTGGAAAAGTTACTCTTAATGCTTTTTCACTTTAATTCCTTGTTTGTACAACAAGCTAATCCGTATCACATACAGCGTTAGAAACCAAAAAAAACAACAAGACGACATAGTTTAACAAGCAGCCAGAATTGTTTGGCTATATTTACAGCAGTATTGATACGCTTCCAGATCTCATTAATTAATTTGGTGAGTACAATGTTATCATTGCACATTGAAATGATTAGCAAAGTTAAAATAAGACCCAAGCTGTAATACACTGGAATGATCCTTTAATTTATTAAAAAGAGTCCATAGTATTGTCTGATGGTTATGTGTTCGCATTCAATCCTGGTTGTTGCATTTGGCCCTCAGATTGTAATTATAATCAGCGGTATTATAAGTATTCTAGTCACACTTTGGCTCTTAGAGGACGAGGCTGCCCTCTTCCTCTTGATCTTTACTCCTACTTAGATGGCTCAGAGGCTGAGAAGACGTAGTAGTGCCTCAAATCTTTCAACAAACCCAGACCAGAGCCTGCATTTGACTGAGAGTCATTATAACGTGCCAGAGCAGATTGTATAAAAAACGAGGAAAATGGGAGGGAAAGGAAAACACATTTGTCTCGTGCCCTTTATTTCATTCAAATGCTACTGCAACGTTATAATGAAATCTAATGACCTCCGTTGTGAAAAAAAAAAAGATTCTGCCAATTTTCTTCTAAATGAATTATGTTGAATTCAAAGAGGGAGATTAAAAATCTCAGGCTCAGTTTGTGTTATAGAAATCTAAGCAATGAGGAATGTGTTGCATCTGTGAAAGATCCCTCGGCTAATTTCCACGCTTCCCCTCTCCCTCCTCAGCAGGCATGTGGTGACGGTTGGGTCGGAGTCTTCGTGGTTGGTCTGTAAGTGAAGGGCTTAGGGGGCTCTGAGCTCTGGTGTGTGTGGGGATGGAGCCGACTCCATTCCTCTCTCTCTCTGATCCAACACACACACAGTCCGCTCCGACTCTCCAAGCATGAAACCATGAGGGTAACAACAGATACACAACTCATGGTATTCATAAGAAACCCCCGAGCTGCTTTACAGGGCTCGGGCTAAAACTAAAATCTAGAGATATATATAGCAAATACCAAAGGGAGAAAAGTTTAGAAAAAACAATACTGTTCCTATGGCTAGTCTCAACATTGGGATGTATTACAATGAGCATTTCAGGCCAAAGTATAAGCTGCAACCTATCGCTCTGAAGCCAAGTTCCTGAGGCTGGTCACCACATGACGTGAGTGGCAAAACAGGTTTTATGAATCCAAAGCCACATTTTCCATTTGGATCCAAGGGCAGTTTAACGACAAAATTCACCCTTTTGATACGGTAACTCTCATTTGTCATCACTCTGTAAGGTTATTTTGCGGTAATTACATGCTGGTCTGGTTAAGTATTTATTTATTTTTTATCTGAAGGAATGCGACGAAAAACACACTACCGAACAATGTGGACCCAGATATGCAAGACATTGTCTGTATTTACGTTTATTTTCTGTGGTTGCAGGCAGTGACATCAAAAGCAACCAACCTCAAAACAAACATATGTGAGGTGCTGGTGTGTTTGCCCTGTTTGGTATTTTGCGAGTGTGCCTATAGCACTATATGGATGTTTGATTTCATCCAATCAGTCTAATGGAAGCCATGGTGTTCCATTCGAGGCTGAGTGGGGCTCCCATTGACATCGTGTTTACATTTTAAACCTCTTGCCTGTAATCACAGAACAGCCCGCTACAAAAGAAAGCCCAGGAGGAGGCCACAGCAAAGGGAGGAGGAGGGGTAAAGCAGGGGGATAGAAGAAGAAGAAGAGAAAAGGAAAATCTTGGGCAAGAATAAGAGGAAAAGAGGTAAAAGCACTGATGAAGAGCAAAAACGGCAGTAATGTAATCCTCTCATTAACCTGGAGTCACTGCTCAGAAGCGTCTAATCTCTTTTTCTCTCGAGAAGATGAAATCATAGTGTTTGTTCTTTTTATCTGATGCTTGCCGCCGTATGGTTTCCAAAGAGTTTTTCGGGAAACCTAGCGACCTGATGTTTTCATCACACCTTCACCGTTAGCATCTGTAGCAGGAATTCATTCGGCTTTGAAAGTGCACATGCTCACATTTAGCTGTGCTCTTTGTGGGTGGGCTGAGCTTTTATTAGGGCCTGTTGTTGAAAGCACTGGAGGCTAATAAGGCTACTGTTTATGACCAGAATATGAGGATACACGAGTGAGCTGTGAATACTGACCTGCGTCGGGCTCTCAACAAAAGCAACAGCAGACGAGCACGGTCTGCTTCACGTGTCGACGGACCGTTTGAGAAGCGTTTTCCAGTCCTGGTTTATAAGCCCAGTTTAGATAACTACATATTTGGTCAAAAGTGAGTTCATACCAGAATCTTTTGACACTTTTTCTGCATAAAAAAAATGATTGCGCCAAAGAAGTGTAAAATGTCCAAACACAAGGCAGGATTTGCAGTAAAATACAGGCCAAACCGCGCTCACATCAATTTTACACATAAGGTTGAATAACTCTGGGGTTATTTACCAGGCAGACAAAGTTGTATACTAATTATGGGAAATGTTAGACAAAGTGTTTTTTGGGAATACGAGTTAAAATATAATTTCAAATTTCTTTTTTTTCATTATCTTGCTCTGCAAGTGTCCCACCAAAGCGCAATACGAAATCGTTGAAGTACCCCCTTTAACTACCATTAAATCATAAAAAAATGTTTTAAATATATTAGATTGTTGACTAAAATTAATAATAAATAATATGATGATAATAATAAATGAATAAATGTTTTATTACAAATAGACTGACAGATACACAAATAGCAAAACAGAGCTACTGTTCATCTGATCACTATGAACTACGCTGAAAGAACACATTCGGTTCGTAGATGCGTCATTTTCAACCCTGCGTTCCCTGAAGACTGTTGCCAAAGGCCGAGTGCAATATTTGTATTATTTAGGTGTTGGGTGAAACGAAGGGCATCACAACATCACATCTATCTGCTATGCAGTCTGAAAACCCCTTTTATTCTATCAAATTGACTGTTTCTGTAATTATTGTAATTACTGTAATTATTATATGACTTTTAAGGGAATGAAAGGGTTTGCCCACTAAAGTGCTACTCAAATGTGAGTTTGTTTTACCTCCAAAGTAAAAAAGGCACCTGCAGGTAGAGCAGACACGGTGGCTTCAGCCACTATCATTTCTGTTCGTACACCACCCATCTCTCTCTCTTTCTGCGCTTTCTACTACGACATACACTCAAACACATGTAAACACATAGATCCACATCTGGGAGTAATGAAGTCCCCAGTTAGAGTGTGTGTGTGTGTGTGTGTGTGTGTGTGTGTGTGTGTGTGTGTGTGTGGCGGAGATGAGGGAAGTGTTTCTGGGTTAGGAAGTTTTCCTCTGGTGCCGGGGGTTCGGAGCTCTGAAAGCTGTGATCCATACCGGCCCCGCTGGGCCCAAGGCCAGACCCCCGGACCCTCTTAATCCCCACCAGCCTGCGCTGCGCGGAAATGGACTCTTCCACCCTGAAGGTCAGAGGCAGATGGTTGTGATTCAGAGGGCGAGACCACCGGGGATCACAGGGGATCATGTAATGCAACATGTCATCATGTGCAGATCTCTCTCTCGTACACGCGATGTTACCCCCTCTTCTCCTTCATCCATCCCTCCACTTCTCCTCCGTTCACCTCGTCTTTCCCCCATCTCCTTCTTACAACTTCAAAGCCTCCACTTGGCCTCCACTGTACCCTTCAAAGTGAGATTGTTATGAATACATTTGACACGTGTGAAGGAATTTAAAAGCCCATTGACATCCTCAACCACTACAGAGGGAGACATGAAGACGGATGCAGTCTGCCTGTGTGTGTGTTCAAAGATCTGTAAAAGCTGCAGCGTGGAGGGAGGTTTGTCATTACTGACGGCAAATACAGGGTGAGGAGCTTCTGTGGGCTGATTAGAAGTCAGCGAGGACTGGAAGCGACTCAATAAAAGGGGAAGTAAAGTAGTACTTCTCTGTGTGTGTGTTGGAGTTGGGCCATTACTTTGTGATGCTTCTGGCCAAAATTTGGCTTTTTGTTAAATGTATCCACTGCCAAGTAAAAATAGAGAAAACTCCTTTCTTCAACATTTTCTTATTTCTGTCAGGTATTCTGATTGTGAGGAAATAATGAATGATATGAATGTAAGTTGCATCTGGGTTTCATTGCCCAGTTTTTGTGTCTAAATACAGTTTCAGAGGATTGTCTTGTGAAGTAGAAAATTCAGATAAAAACGGTCTTGAAATGATCTTTTTACAGGGTTTCTGCAGTGTTAACAAGTTTAAATTATTAAATAAGACTTTTTTTAGACCTTTTAAATCCCAAGCAGAATGCAATTTAATACCTTTTTATAAATACGAATAACAGAAAAATCAGTAGGGACAATAAAGCCAACATTCATTTATTAAGTATATGAAATTATTGAAATATA